AGTTATATGTTAGCAGCTCAGGAATCGACATCTGAATTGTGTTCATATTGCCACAACGATGGTTTTGATTGTACTTTTTTGTAACTTGTACAGAGAAAGGTCGTAAACTTTTTATAAACGCGTCTGAATAGGTTATGTGGTTAATAAACATGATGATGTGTTAAAACGAACAAAAAGCAGATAACTTGTTGAGATATCCAGATAACAGGAAAAGGTAGCCCTGATATTTAAGCAGGCCGCCATTTCGTATAATCGGGAATATTTTTTCACTTTTTGTTGACACGTCAAACTTCTTAGTAAGCTGAAAGTCTTGAAACATTTCTCAAGGTGACAGAACATTTTCATTTCTTATGAATTATGAGAATGTATGTGTACAAATCGAAGGCTCATTCGGCTCTACTATTGTGATGTATGCTATTTATATGGACAGATAATAGTATATATATATATATATATATATATATATATATATATATATATATATATATTGCATAGTAAAAATCCAGGGTAGAGTAGGTGTTATAGTTACCAGTAACCATTAATCAAAATGAAAGAATTAATGTAATGGTAATGAAATTGATAAGTGATTGGGTACTCGCTCAACTTGATGAAAAAAACAACAACGTTCAAATCTTTTGAGGACACATTAGTTAATCATAGTAGTTACTGAACACGGAGACAGAAATACATACAAAGGTAAAAAAAAATACTCACTCGTGGATCAAGCACGTAATTATAAGGCATGAAAATCAAAGATGAATCGGTCTTAAGTTCTCTCGATATGAAATAAGGACAACATCTAAAACGAAAAAAACAGTACAAATTTATATTAGAAAACATATAGAACTGTAAAATCGAAATGTTTATATTTCCATTAGATGAGTTGTACATCGTAAAATATTTTTATCTATTGGTGATAATATGTACCGAATATCATTGAACAAACTTATTATAAAAATGACACGATCCCCTCCAGCTTTTGATGCAGTTCATAAGGTAATATCTAGCGGCAAGAGAGTGAGACCAGCAGGACAGATAGATTTACTTGATAGGACTTCAAGTATGGAGATCGCGTGTTAGGAGGTAAGTTAATTGAGATTATAACTAGAGTTCGGTGACGTGATATAATCCCTTCTGGATAATCCCGATCACTGATTGTCCCAGACTATAAAAAGATAGAAATCTTCTTTGTGGTAACCACACAGTGAATAGTTTGATTAAAATAGCCTTGAAAACACTGGCCTCTATAATCATCTGTCGCCTATCTGCTGCTCAGGAACAGCAAACTAGGAGTGAATGTGATGTATTGAAGAAATATTCACCCCTTTTTAGATTCCGGAATATAAGAATACTCACCAAATACCGATTGTAGTTATTTTCTGACCTGAAGACAGTATTCAACTCAGTTGATCGAGAGGTTTTGTGACTTTTTGTTAATAAAAGTCGTAACAAATATGTATATGAACCTTGCAAATGCTCTGTATTTGAACACTTAGTTGAGTCAGAAGTTATGGCAAACTGTCACCATAATCGTCAACCTCAAGTGGTGTTCGTCAGGGTTATCCACTACCCTCATTTTTATTAAGTTTCATCATAGAGGTCTTCTTAGAAATCGAAGTTTTAAGATCTAACTTTTGAAAAGTTAATTTTTTATCGGGAGATTGACTTATCGACTTGATATACACAGATGGCATTGTCTTATTTGGTGAAGAAATTGATGAGATATAGTCTTCTGACCCCCTTAAGCAATAATGATATCATGTTCGTAATGAGTTTCTCTATACACGCACAATGATACTTCAGAACTGGTTTGATCACAGGGAATGAAGAAGTTGAGTTTCAGTTGCCTCACTTATTATGGAAGTCTCATCAGCTCTGGCGGGACGGTGTCTGGTGGAATATAGGCTTTGCAAACTTATTTCACTTGTGGAGTAGGTGAGATGTTTGTTTGTCAACCACGTAGATAGTATACTGAGCAGCGGTTTGCTCCGTTTGCTTGCACAAGGGTAGGCTAGAAGAAAGCTAGGGATTTTCAAGCTAAAAACATAACATCAGTTCAGGAATTCAATTTCTGTTTATCTGAGCTGTACAGGCAGGTTCAGACTACCTGGTTGGGGTCCGCATAATTATCTTAGCCAATGTTTGGAGACAGTGAGCGTCATGGATCAGATTCGACCACAACGGTGCAGGCGCATTTATAGTTCATACCCGTTTAGATATTGAGTTTCACCACTTTATAAATACCTTCCCTTCTGTATTTACAAACCATATACCTAATGCTACGTCCTCCTGATTACAAAATTATTTCGACTCCTATAATATTTAACTTGTTAGTTTCATTGTGCTAATTTGGTACTATGATGTGGGCCAACACACATCTGTGCCATCCACTACGCAGATTATGACTGGGGCGACATGTTTCACAGAATGAAATCACTTGGATACAACTGAAAACCAAGTTATATTACAGAATCCCTCAGCACCCATTATTGCACCGGGGATCAGACCTATGACATACAGGTTTGAAGTGAGCCTTTAATTATTAAACCATTTAGTAGGCAGAACACTGAATTCAGATCACCTCCAAATCTGCAACAAGACAGAGCAAAGAGGATAAGATTATCAAGCCGCACTTTGTATAGTAATCCCGCAAGTTCTGGAATTTCACTGTTAGTTGCCATCTGTACTTTTTTCAAGATATCCGAGTCACGCTATAATAAGGGTTTTAAACTTTGGATCTCATTAATGTTTTGTATGCCGCGGTGAACATGTTGGTATCCAACTTTTCATGTGTCCGTCGTAAAGCCCATAGGGTTCTAAATCCCTTAGCTCCAGCATTGCAGCAGTGGGCTGTATTCTCAAGTTCATGGATCACAGTCATACAAGATCCTTGTGAAACCGGACTATGGACACTGGCTCTTCTCTTATGCTACACCTGTTTATCTTTGTGTTCAAACTTGAAATGTGGACACACTCAGCGGCGTTAACAGACATCTACCATTCTTGAGACCAGCTAATCAGCACATCTAAGTTCGCTTGAAGTGCACACGCATCTACATCCCCTGTTATTTCATCGTCAACCCAAAAGAGCGTCGAGTACTCAACTACACTTGTTAGTTTATTTACATACAGTACCAAAGGCAAATGGCCTAGGACAAAGTGTTGGGATACTCCAATATGTACTGGTTACCAGGAGGAGCATTTGTGATTTATTCCTACTTTCTGCTTACGATCTACCATGAAATCCCTGATCCACTGGAGGAAAGGTCTGCCAATTCCCAGATTTTCCAGCTTCAATAACAGTTAATCGCTCTTCAACAAGCTTTTTGTCTCCACGAATGTCTATCAGCATTTTGTTGAATGCATATAAGTTTGCGAATCTCTCACCACTCTCGTTCCTTTCTCCCAGCCAATACATTTCGTCCCATGATATCCTCATACCGATTGTTGTCCATTCCGACTTTGGCGTTTAGATCTGCCATCAGGATGGTCAGGCCCTTTCCTGGGCACTTCGCTATGGTCGGTTGCAGACCCTCGTAAAGCTGATGTTTATCGTCGTCATTGCTATCAATGGTGTTTGCAAAACCTTGGATAAAATTTATTGTAATTCCCTCCTTGTTTGTTTTGAATGATGCTTTGATTATCCTAGATCCATGAGATTCCTATCCTATAAGTACTGGTGTTTCTTTCACTTCCTATAATTTAAAAGCTATAGAACGGTTGCTCTTCCAACTGTACCCTTAAAAAGCATGCAGTCCATGATATGTAACCGTCAGCATTGTGGTTTGTACTACTGATGTCGGTGGATGCAAGTAGTACATATCATCAGTCGAAAGTGAAATGCCTGGAGGCAGAAGATATAATGGATCAAAGTAAAGAAAAAGAAAACAGAGGATTTATAATGTGGAAACAAAATTACAGTGAAAACTGAGGCAGCTGATGGACATTTTGCAAATTGAGTATTCATTTTATGGCTCTCAGATGTTAATGAGTCATTATATAATTTTTTATTCGAGTGCACTCGATTTTCCGCAACTACGTTTTTGTTCGCTACATACACAACCCTTACTATCCATAAAATTCTTTTCACCCGATCACCACGCTTTCAGAGGTCACTCATGTAAAAGGAATTGGTTGTTCGTGGCAGAAAGATGAAAAACAATCCTCGATCGCAAGTGGAAGGTAGACGTCCTAAATCTTGGCTTTTCAACTGCTGATTGATTCAACCATACATGTCTTATAAATAAACTCAAACGTACAGTTGGTAAATCACCTTTAGTTTATTGGCCCACGTTTTACCTAAAAAGTTGCCATTTGTTGGTCAGGGTTGACTTCATTTTCTCTTGGACTATGGAATGTTCTATTAGGGTGAGATAGCCCGAGAGACATCCTAGGAATCCTTTGAAAAAAAATGTGGTAGGTTTGTGAGGACTAAGGACAGTATCTCACTATGAATTACCAAAGTATTTTTCTTTTTTCTCTTTTAATAATTATATACCTAGGTTACCGCCTGGAGTTAGTGGTAACCCACTGCTACTGTAAACAGAATCTTGTTAAGCGAAAGCTTTTCTATTCCGTCTAGGACGATTTGTATCTTCGGATATCCAGTAGCAAGGTAAAAATCGCTAGGCATCATCTGTAAAAACAGTGTAAGCTCACTTTCAGAACACACTTTAGGGAAAGTGCCTCGAATGCAAATAAACAACGCAGCAACTCGAACAGTAATAGAACATACTTCATGCGATCTGTCAACTTTTGGAAACGCTTGCCGGCTGAAGTTGTTCAACCAACTTCCCAGATGATTTTAAGGTAACTTAATGTACTATTAACGCCTTGAAATGGTTGATCGTGCTGAACTACTTATAATTATTCCAATTTATTTAGCTTCACCTAACTAGGTCCCCACATTGAGACATAGATGTACATTGTTTTTATTTTGTATGATAGCAGGTAACAGAAATCTCCTATCTCTACATTTTGAATCATTCAAATTAGAAGTATGTTAATGTAAGGGAAAAAGATTCACTGAGATTCATTTATTCACTTACAGCTAAATCATCGTTCCTTGATTTTCTACGATTGACCTTGTTTATTGATCATTTGTTGAGCTACATAGTTCTGGCTGTTACATATTTAATTGGGGAACATGGACAAGGCTGTCGTTCAGACCAAGCTTGCAAGAGTAGGTTTCTTCAATAATTATGTCTACTTCATGGTGTAGGTGAAAGCAGTTGTTGGCAGAACTGGTTCTCAGGGTCAATGTACACAGGTCCGTGTGGAATTTTTGGATGATACTAATAGGACGATCATAAGAAACGTGAAAGGCCCCATTCGAGAAGGCGATATTCTAACCTTATTGGAAACTGAAAGAGAAGCCAGAAGGTTACGTTAATGTATTCTAAATAAAAGGTCGTAATAAAATTGCCAGCTTTTCATCTATTTTTATAACATATCTGTCCACGAATTATAACCAAACCAGACACAAGCCCGCTCTTTCTGTACTTAAGAACCTACTCAACGGTAGTAAAACGAATATATACTTCATATGTCAACAGTCTTAACTCCATGCTAAGATTTTTAGTTATAGAAGAACTTCCGGACACAAACACCCTATTTTCAGAAGGTTCTGGGGTTCTCTAGTTTTGTTCTATTTCCCTAAAACATGGAGTTTGGGGAAGTTGGCGACAACCTGAAACCAAAAACCAACATGACAGTAGTAGTTATTATTTAGTATTGTAATTACACTGCGGACAAGTCATTTGTTACTTGGTGATAATAGAAAATATCGACAGAGGATATTTTTCTACGGATTTGGAAAGAAGAAGCTTCGCTAACTGGAATTTTTTTTATTACCGAGTAAGTATATTTTCAGTAGCGTCCTGAGGTATGCCTAACACCAATTGCAGATGGATACTTGCACAAAACTAGCTCCAATCTCAGATTGGGGACAGATAATTACAGGATACTGTACGTAGAAATGCATTTGGCCTCGAGTGGTTCATTTGCTCTCAATGCCGTGAAGTCAACAGACTTCTTCGGTTCAGGATTTAAGTCTGTACCTGTCTCTGTGTAGGTGAGTAAGGTGGTTTCTAAGTGGATTGTAAACTCGTCGAGTTATCAGATTGATGTAAGCTGCATGTAGATTTGACTAGTCAGTATCGTAACGTTACGTAGTTAATCATTCATCTGAGCTACAGATGCTCACCATTTCGAAGTCATGTTACGTGGTGTTCCAGTTAGACTTCATTTTACTTGTATTGGTTAGAATTTCCCGCTAACTGGTGTATGCACATTGTGTCCGTTTCCTATTAAGTGACTGGATATTTTGATTGTCTAGTCTTTTGATTCGAGTAACGTAACATCGCATTGACAGGAGAACGTCACATAAAGGTTGAATTCGGCGTGATTATCGACTTAGATAGGCAACTGAACATGAATATGTGAATAGGGAAACAGACGAATGTATCAAGATTGTGACCGTAAGCCCGGATCTCAAACACGGAACTGCTTGCCTGTGTACATTGTCTACTTCTTTCCTCAGGCTAGGCTTCGGAATGTCCCCAAATCTCTACTTGTGTCCGAGGAGTCAGGCATCTTTGGTCCGTATTTGCTTTTAGCATGAATAGTGAGATGGGATACCGTCAGTTGCATTTATTTCTCAGTTCGTAAGAGGGATGCTATTCTTCCGCCTCACACGTATCGTACGCAAGGTTAAGGCTCGATTACTAACCTGTTATATGTTAACCGCATGATACTGTTCAGTATGAACGAGTTCATAGCGTTAATAGCCTCAGACATCATGCCCTCGCTAATTTAAGATGTTTGAAGAGTTAACTGTACCACGAATGCGTCGTTTGTTAGTCTATAAATACGATGCTACTTTTTTCAGTTGAGAGGTCTTGCATAATTAAAGTACGTTCTTAGAAAGCGTTCGTGAGGATTATTTACGCACGATAACTGGAATGGACTTACACGGTCAGAAACGTCGATCGACAGTCCTTCCATCCATATGAGGTAATATGCCTAATATAATTCTCGAGCTTGAAACGAAACAGAAACATGCGGAAGTAATCTAGAACAATTCACGAAACTAGTCCTTTGCCTGATTTGTACATGTTAATAAGTCGATCAAGTGTATTTTAAGGGTTAAATGCCCACATCACGTGGTTTATGTAATCACTAAACTCCAACAAATTATCTTCGTAAAATCCTCACAATAGAAATACACGTCAACTGTTAGTCCTTAATGAAATCTCGTTTGCGACCTACTCCTTGATGCAAAAATAAAACTGGACTGCCGAACTGTCAATACAACACCACAACAATAACTGGACGTAACGACTTATAAATCATAAACCTCTGTAAAACCAGTGTATTTGTACTTACGTTTTAACTGTATGCGCATATCCTGCCTAGTCGTCATTATTGAAAAATAAAGGATTGATATAACTTTCTAATTGTTGATAAGACAGGAAGCACATTCATTATTACCTTTAACAGGTGTTACATTTTGTATCTTCAGGTTTTCATAGGTAAATCGACTTTATTATAGGCTTGCCACAAGCTCTTATGAAATAACTTGGTTCTGTTTCAGTCAGTCAGCTGCAACGTAGGACCAGGCATGTATATGCATCGGTCCAAGTTGCCATACCGCATTAGCACAACAAGATAAACACCGGATTCATAGGAGTAGTTAATTCAGTGGTGGTAATATATAGAAGAAAGATTGTGTATAAGGAGATAGTAAAGGAAGAAAGAATTAGTTCCTAGATAGATATGAAGCGATTTTAATCTCTTAATTTAAGGAAGACAGAGAGTGAATACACCGACGCCATTGTGATCGATTCTGAGCCATGTCACCAAGAGTCTCCAACCATTGGTTACGATAGTCACGCGGACCCCAACCAGGCAGTCTGAATCTCCCAACATGGCTCAGACCAGAAGTTAGTGACTTCAAGCACTGATGCCACGTTTTGGTTTGGCCGCCCCTAACTTTCTTCCAATTATCCCCTGCACTAGTCAGCATTGCGCGTCGTGGTAATCGGTGTTCAGGCATACGCAACACGTGACCCAACCATCTCAGTCGATGAAGATTCATAACCTCATCAACTGATTTACCATCATCCCCTAATACCCTGCGTCTAACCTCACTATTACTTACCAGGTGATCCCAGCAGATACCCGCAATATTTCTAAGGCATCTGTGGTCAAATACTAGTAACTTACGAATATCTTCCACTCTTAAAGGCCAAGTTTCGCAGTCGTATAGTAGAACGGAACGAACTGCCACGCAGTATACTCGTCCCTTAATTGATAGACGGATATCTCGCCTACGCCATAGATGACGTAAGTTGGCAAAGGCCAAGCGAGCTTTTCGAATCCGTGCTGAGATTTCGTCAGACACCAACCCATTAGGGCTGATCAGACTTCCAAGATAAGTGAAGTTGTCAACGCGTTCGACTACTTCACCCCCTATCCTTAGTTCAGGTGTTGATGCAGACCAGTCCTGAAGCAACAACTTGCATTTGGAGGGAGAGAAGCGCATTCCAAACATTCTAGCATTGTTGCTCAGTGCTACCAAAAGACTCTGCATTTCATCAGCGTCTTCTTGGTTCTGTTTACTGCACAGTAATTTCTGTTAACAGACTAGTGATATATTATAACAATCAGAAATCGGCCAGATGATAAATGTATATCATTGACAAAGAAATCACATTCACTTCCTAGCAATGAGGCACACACGTAGACGGTTGTGATCATGTATAGGAAGGTTGGGCATCAGTACCCGACTCCACAAAACATCAATTAATTTCATGGGAAATTTCTTTGTTACACGATAATTGTTGCATATCATATTCAAACAGTCATTATATTCCTTTACTCTATAAGTCAGCTAGCTGAGAGGTGAGATTTGATCAACGTATCACCTACCTGACGTAAAAGCTCCCTGATACATATGAGTAACAATCTTTGTGAAATAATTGTCGAACCTGTGACTTTACACAAAACTATCAAGTAACTAAGTTTATTACCAAATATTTGACAGATAAAGATCATTGGGATTGGTGTCGAATGCTTTGAAAGTCTTTTCAATAAAATACTGAAAAAATTAATACGACGAACACATATTCCCAACTTGTAATGTTTAATTACCGTTACCGTTGCTCTGTATCTAGTACACAATCTACTTGTAAAGAAGATCAATAAGCAGAACTGAATCAATTTGCATTCCAGATTCTCTCAATCTCGGTCACGCTCACTCCTGAATTATATCTCACATTTCGATCTGGTCGTTAGCAGTTGTAACAAATAATTTGGTCTTTCCATATAGTGAGTGATATTGAGTCGAGTGAGTACGAGTTAAATTAGTGCTAGAATGTATGAGAATATTTCATTGATGTATTACCAGAAATACAAACTCAGTTTCTATCTGAATCGTCATAGATCAGTATTTAAACAACGAACGCCTTAAAAATTACGAAATCATTTCGTAAATTTATCATTAGGAATAACCATTTGGTTCACAAGTAAACACGAAACGAAGTGTATACTTCCATATTATACGGTCGAAGTCTTAGTGCATTAAAAATCGGAAGGGACCTGAACAGATAAGCAAACTGAAAAATACCTTACTTCAAGATGTATATACCTTGTTTTGCATAATTCGCTAAACTATTGGTATCTGCTGTTAGGACAAAACTAAAATGATATACGACCGTAGCCTCTACAAATCTGTTCATCAAGTAAATATTAACTGACATTAATTTTCGGAGTCAAACTAAAAGTTGTCTGATCGCAATAGATTCGGCAGAATAATACAATTTTATTTTTTGCAACCACATATATTTGATGTTAACAGTGACAAATGATTTTGCCAAACACAGCAATACGGTTTGAATATCTAAAGGTTTAACTATGAGATCGATTATAATCTATTACGACAACCGAAGTGGTCTCATCACAATTGTATATACAGTAATGGTAATATCCGTCGTTATTACAATAACTTCTAAAGATAACTGAAAATAACACAAAACTAGTTTATACTGCATGAACTTCAACTGATACTAACAACACCTATTGCACTGATAAAAACAATTTTAATACTCATTACAAATAAAAAATATTAGGATATATTACAGTGTATTCAGAACAGTTTATTATTAACTTATATGCATATCTATTTATTCGTTTACCACCACAAGGAATTCTTATAAAGCAGAAAAGTAAAATATCGAATCGTTCAGTTGAGATGAGCTGATGATCAATAAAATATAAGCAGGAGGTTTTGCAGAAAGAAATTAAATTGGGAAGCACACTGCATCCAGAACACAATGATGACAGCTTCGAATGAAAATAAACGGACAAGAAATTCATGTAGGATTGTGCATGTTTCATATATACGCAAATCATTTATATATGTGTACAAGGTAGCGAAAAGTCACCTTTGGTGGAAGTAAATCATAATAATGATCAATATATATATATATATATATATATATATATATATATATGTATGTACATTGCAAGATTCTACTATTCTCTTCTTACATCTCTATTTTTATATTTTGGTTCTCCATCACTAACTTCCTGCCCATCTTCATCCTTTCCACTCGAATCAAGTTCGTTTACTGGCTCTTCATCTTCTGGTATAGGATCTGAAGACGGTTGGGGTATCAACAAAGCAGCTAGTTCTCGCTTTGCATGTTGTTGATTCAATTCAAGCATTTGTTGTAATGCATTCTTAATGACACAGAAATTGAATTCTATTAAACCTACAAACGTATAAAAATAAGCAAATTCTAGAAACTAATGTGTTATCACAAGAATCATTGAAGTTTACTTCAGAATGTAATGCGTGGTAGTTGTTTGAGAGAATATAAACCAACTTTATAAAAACAGCAGCAAAAAATACCCAAACTTTGAGTTGGTCCTGAAGATGTTTGAAAATAATAAACGGTAGGAAATAGGGGATCTTCATTAGGACTTATACGGTGATTTGTAAGGTGTTTAATTTTGAGTTGAAGAATCGCAGGTTTTTTAAGAGAGTTGAGCCTGTTATTTTCTCACTCGCTTCACCATAAAATGTGGTACAATTGGTTTCTTATTGAACAATGAGGTATTGAGTCACCTAAGCATAGAATGCAAACGTTTACAATCTGTGAAAATAAATAAGTCATTTTGTACTTATTTACATACTCTAATTAATGTTTTAAAAATAATGAACTGAAAGAGAGACAGACGAAACAATCGTTTACCCATTTTCTCTAAAGATTCTTCATACATCAAACAAGCTAGAGCCATATACTGATTGACGCCACGAAGATATAATGCTCTATCATTGTTTAAGATAATTGTTGCCCCAGTTTGCTCAGATACAGGCGGATCAACAAAATTAGATTGGGGACTGAAAACAAAGATGAGAAGGTATCTTTTAGAATGAACTTAACAGAGGCGAAGTAACTTCATGAATTATATATGCCTAACACAAAATGCACTTGTTTTTTGTCTTGAGATATATAACGGGATTAGTGATAGGGAATTCGTGGGTTGACAAGAAAGGACAGAAGTCAAATAATACCATCCATTTGACTTTCCATGTGAAGTGTGTAACTGGAGTTATTGTGGGACTCATACGCTCTTGTGACAAATTGTATTAAGGTATTGGATATCCAATAGAAGAATATCTCAAATCAAACATATTAGCTAAATGAGAATGACAGAGACGATATCGACGCAAATGATATACCGGAAGTTAGTCAAAATCTACGCAGTAAAACTTCGAAGTACGTAACTTGGGAGAACCATCACTTGATAATTTAAAGAAGAAAAGCCAAGGTTTAGTTCACGATTTCCTTTAGCATACAAAAACAGTTTAGCGAATTTCGTATGAATTTATTATCACATATCCAAGTGCAGCGGTGTTGCCTTCTAACAACGAAAGGAAGAATTTAAAAACGGTCGACCGCAAAAAGCAGACACCTCATTTTACGCTACGGGTTTACATACGGCGGTAAGGCCTTTTGAATAACCGGATTGACAGATCAAAAACTTCCTTCAGGCGTGCGCGTCTATTCACAAGAACTTCCCCACCGAGGTCTGCGATCGTCCTTATAGTTAACCAGTCGTCAGTAACGTTCATCCGAACGTGGGTTGGCATGATATCCAGACAGTCGTGAAAAAAGCGGTGGAGTCTGTGACAATCTGTAATCAAAATGTCAAGGAAAACAAATGGATTTCAAAAGCATCTACTGAACTGATAAATGAGGTAGTGAATCTTTATTGTCTGGAATGGTTAGGACATGTTTTGATGTATGCAAATCTATCACCAAATTCGATTCTCAATGATGTTTGGTGTGTGAATAGGTTTTAAGAAAGCTAGGTGTTGGCAAACCAAGATCCTTTTTACTTCAGGTTGCACGCTTCTGATGATTTTTTGTGTGTTAGACTTTACTGAAGACCAATGCTTTGTCAGTCACAACGTAGAACCTGTGCGCATGTAGATCGGTTCAAGTTGGTATAACCGAAATGTTTTGTAAGTTCAACATGTTACTTGCAACGAGAAGTACACCGAACCAGTGACTCAACAAAGCCATCCTTAAAGGGATTGCCTCAGTGATTAACGTCATTACAATCACGTTCATTCATCCTGTTATAACTTGTGGCCTGAGTGCATGATGAATGGTAACTTTGGGATTCTTTTATGGACCAATACTAAACGTATATTTTTATCAGGGCCAAACACATCCACAGGGCGCTACTAAGATCTGTCATCATAATCTCTTCTGTGATGGTCCCTATATGATATTGCTTCTACTGGACCAATCCTATGTTTTGGAGGTATCACAGTATATGAGTGATTTTTAGTATGTCCAGTAGGGTGTATGACGATTAGATCCGAAACTGTCTTCCGGATTTGAATAACAGTACCAAATAGAGCTTTGACGGTCAAGCTGGTGTACGATTAATTCTAAAGAAAATTAGGGGTGGGTAAACAAAGATATGACATCAATCCATGAAAACACTAACTGTTAGATTGAGCCATGTAGGCATGATCAAACTGGTTGAGTTGCGCATGACTATCATAGCCAACAGTTGGAGACAGTCTCAAAACCGTTCACAATCGCGCAGAAGCATTTATTGTTTGTCATATCTTTCATCCTAATTTTCTTGTTTCCCTATAGTTTTGTTGCAAACCACAAATTTATATTTTCTTCTCCAACCGTATCTTCGATGTATAATCTTTTCCACCACCACTACTACAATTCCTACATCTACCCAACTGGGAATCGTCCTGAAAAATTTATCTGGTTGTGCTAAAGGGGTATTACAACTTGAACTGATACTCATATGTACTAGGTTCTACGCTGCGTACGACTGACTGAAACTATTAAACCTGAAATGTTACTAGCATACGTGCTGCCAGATGTGTATGTATACGTATATACCATTAGAAACCAGAGATTGAATAACGTTTAGTTACAAAATAGTGATATCTATTATATATACCTATCTATGATGGTATACAGGGTGTACTGTAATATCACCTGTAGCTAGCTGAAAAACGGTACAAAAAAATTATATGATAACTTATATTGCATGACCAGGCATCGTGCTTGAAAATTATCAGCATAATTTTAGACGGTAATTTCAACGTCGTGAAGGGGTTTATGTTAAATCGATGTCCGGTAGACGTGTTGATTCCGACAACCCTTATGGTTTCTGGAACAATTAAGGCCTTAAAGATTATGGTATAAAGTCACTGAAGATCTCTGAAAATAAATGTATACAGTGAAAAGAGTTTTGACATTAACTACTAGCCTACGTGTAGATTGCTGCTACATCTACGACAACATCAATCATATCGCAGCATAATTCATACGTCTGCATGTCTACTGCATTTGAATCTGTCGCTAAATATATTTTACTGGTGACATCAAAAAGAAATGCTTTGTCCACCATAGAATTCTGTAAAACAAGAAAGAAAACATGATTAAAAAAACTAAAAAAAAGAGACATGAAAGATATATGCGAAACAATCACATTCGTTATAATATTAGGAATCACCCTACACACAATACCAAGTACAACAAAAGTAAAAAGTAGAATTTCGTATATCGATGTTGATTATGCTATAGAAATTTTCAGACCCGTTTGTAGTGTATCCTAAAGAGTAATAAAGTTCCTCTTCTGATAGTCGTTCTATATAAAATTGCAGGACACTCGAAATCTAAACCACTAATCGATAAAACTCAGCCAACCGATTCTCAAAAAACACGTTTCTTATATCATATTCGTGGAAGATTTCAACATCCACAGTTTTCTAAACAAAAATAACTACAGAAATCAAATTATCTGGTAATCTTTACAGTACTTACAGAAGGCTTGGATGGCAGGAGTGTTCTTCGAATCCTAAAGACAGTTTCGGATCTACTCGTCATACACCCTACTGGACATACTAAAAATCACTCATATACTGTGATACCTCCAAAACATAGGATTGGTCCAGTAGAAGCAATATCATATAGGGACCATCACAGAAGAGATTATGATGACAGATCTTAGTAGCGCCCTGTGGATGTGTTTGGCCCTGATAAAAATATACGTTTAGTATTGGTCTATAAAAGAATCCCAAAGTTACCATTCATCATGCACTCAGGCCACAAGTTATAACAGGATGAATGAACGTGATTGTAATGACGTTAATCACTGAGGCAATCCCTTTAAGGATGGCTTTGTTGAGTCACTGGTTCGGTGTACTTCTCGTTGCAAGTAACATGAACTTTCATTACCGTCTGTGTGGCATGCCAACCCATATCCATGTGGACGTTGTTGACAATCGACTAACTGCTCTTCTATTTGTTCATTAGATACACTCTTGAACGTTTGTCATTAAGTTGGGCTGTAAAATGTCTTTTTTGCATAGAACAAGACATAGACGCATTTTTATATTAGGGCATGATCAGAGTTGAGATATGTGCTCAGAAATGAGCGGTGATCTTCTATTTAGGCTCAGTTTGCGCTCATCGTTGATTTTATTGTGGGAGTTTTCATGTCGGACGATGCTCCTTCTTGCGTTTAAAGTTGGTCATTGTCAAGAATAAACGGATGTCTGATAAGAACTACAGCAGTTGTTAACGACTGTCTGTTCATTGAGCTAGGATAGCATGAGACCCATCTGAGTGTCTTGGACATATATATATATATATATATATATATATATATATATATATATATATATATATATATATATATATATATATATATATAACGATTAGGTTCAGTTGAAAAAGCTATTTCCTCATTCTTAGTCTTTTCACTCCAGTAGTTGCATGATTGTGTATATGTTGGGGTATTGAGAAAATACTCCAGAAATTATCTAATGTCATTTCCCCATTGGTCAACATTCTTCCAACGTGTCATCTCCCTATTGGTCAATATTTAATTGTGTCATTTCCTGAAGGTTAATTATTGTACGAATGTTACTTTTTATTTTATAGTACGATGTAGTCTGTTTGTTTGGTATATAAACAGAGTATGGTTGAAATATAGTGATTCATATCACCGAGGCTGAGACTTGTGTTCTGGACTCAACTGACTGGGCTAGACGGGGAAGCAGGGCCAATCAGAACTCTAGGCCGCTCTCACGTATTTTGCGCGTCTTTGGTCCGATCAATAATTCGCCTCTCCCTCTCTCTCAAGTTATAACAGTATACGAGATGATTAAGTATCAGTATCAGACACTACTTATATATATATATATATATATATATATATATATATATATATATACATTGTACTTTTTGCAATGAAGGCTTTCTGTTAATCATTGTAATATACAGACTAAGAAAATAACTTTTTCACAGTAAATTACATGAATTGATTTCACTTTAATGTCTGAATTAACTCAACTATCAATAAAAATTATTACTTTTCGTATATGATCACCAAAATCTTAGGGGTAATCCTGAAATGTTTATAATGAATGATAAATTCCGATAATTAACTGAGCAATCTTGTTATGAACATGTACTGATCAAGTGAACTGTGTAATGGAATAGTGACTGGATCATCTGAATTTTACAATCATTAGGTTTTGATTTATGAATTGCAATTAACTGATTCTAGTCTCAGAAGTTAGACGATATCAACAACCATTCTCTAAAAGATATAGTCCAAAATTCTGTATTAAAACGAGCATATAACTAAAAAGAAATTCGAATACATTACTATTTATAGAAAGATCTTCTTTGAAATATGAACTAATATGTATTAGTGAATTGATGATAAGTTTTGTTTACAAAAAGGATCTATTAAATCTTTAAGTTCATTTTACCTTCTTGAAGAAAGTTACATTTAAATACTTAAAATAAGTTAAGAACTAAATGATAAAACATAAAGCAAAATATAATGAATAACTTCATTTGTAATGATTAAGAAAAAGAAAACTCACTGTAATAAATATATTTAATAAATGTTCAAATGCTTCCAAGTAAGGAATTAATTTTTGTACCACTTTACTGAATGCTTCAAAAATTGAATGATCATATATTGTAGTTAAATGAAATCTGGTTTAATTTTAAAAAAGAAAATTAAAAAAGGTTACGTTTAACATATTGTAATTTAGAATAAGATTCAAAATTATCTTGAATAATTCAAGTACGTATACGAGGATCTGCTAATAATTGATAATTTCATTTACAATAACCTACAACCTTGTGAGTTGTATTTGTCTTACATATATGCTTTACCAAAAACACATAAACATGATGTTCCTCTTAGATTTATTTGTCAACAGTCAATTCACCTTATCAAAAAGTTGCACGCTGGTTAGAGGATAACTTAAAAGTAGCCCGTCAACGATTTGTCGCGTATAAATCAAAAGATCCATTTGAATTTGCCAACAGTATGAACCATATAAATATGGTTAGTAAGTTTATGGTTTCCATAAATGTAACATTATTGTTAACTAAAATACCACTTAATGGAATCATATACATAATTTGCCAGCGTTCTGGTACCCTACTTCTACCAGCATCAAACTCGAACGACTATTAATCATATGTACAAAAGATATACCGACAAACCATTATGTCCTGTCCTAGCAGGTATTTTCATGGCTAATCTACGAAGAACCAAGCTCAGAGGAGCAATTGATGGAATGGTGTATTATTCGAGGTATGTTGACGACAACGTCATTGTATGTAATAATCAAAAACATGCAACAAATCTGAAACTTTTCAACGAAGCCCATAAAAGTATCCACTTTACTATGGAACAAGTGCCACTTTCTTGAAATTGCAATAAAACGAAGAATGGCACGGTCGAAAGTCTGGTTTATAGAAAGTACATTTAAAATGGGATTTATCACAATTTCAATAGCTTTTGTCCACTCACAAAAACACACAGGTTAAAAAACAATTTCACAGAAAAGAAAGAATATATAGTGCCGACACACAAAATGAAGAACTAATGAGTGTAAAAAAGGTGTTAAAGGAACAACGGATACCCACAACAATCTAGTGTAAATACGGAAAACGTGAAGACAAATAGTATAAAAAAGCGGTAGTAAACAAAAACCTATTTTTATCTAATTTAAACTCAAAGGTGATGATGTGACAGTATCAATCAATATGAGATTGAAAACTGAATTGATAAGAACTTATCCGGCAGCGAAATTTATTGTCTTGTCCAAAACATGTCCTTAAACACACTAGTTAGATGTTCTGGAACTTCTCTTCTTATATTTTATTTATTTTTCTGAAACAATTTATTAATTCGCTACATCATACACATATTCATCTGTGATCGCCATAGTGTTTATACGTATGTCAATATCTATAATAACTTTGATTTTAAAATATTATAGGTTATAAGCAGCTAATGAAGTCCTAGCGAAATAAAATGAATTCATATATCCTGCACCAATCTTTGTTTATGCTCTCTACAAATAATTCAACTGATAAAACAAAACAAGGTGTGCACTTCCATCTATGTAATCCATATCCTTTTGTGATGTTTACAGTGACAAATGATTTCGCCAACTACAACAATACGGTCCGAATATCTAAAGCTTTATTCGCACGAAAGATTTAACTTTGCGACCAATTTATTGGGCAGAAATTAGCTGCCCAAACCATTCCGAAAAAATTATGTTAACCTTACTCTTTGATGTGACTAACGAAATATTTTAGAGATAGTGATTGAACTAATAATCTATAAATAGTATTAACATTACGCTTTCACTTACCCTATACTAATTCCAGCATTCGACGGTTGTTCGCACAATAAATCCTCTAAGACACTTGTCACATGTTGAGTAATATCTCGTTGTATATCCATTTTTTGATCATCTGATAAACAATCAACTTTATGAATAAATACTTCGAATTTGATATTCATATTAAAACGGAACGCTGACTCTAAAGTAGCATGTAGGCGGGTTAAAGCCGCATGATAATCATCCTACAGAATCAAAGTAACGAACAATAATATAAATATTGGACATATGACTAGCAATTATAAACCTAGGAAACTGAATAGTGTGTATTTTATCAGGTATTCAATTATAATCTATTATGACAACCGCAGTGGTCTCCCCACAAGTGTATATACAGTATTGGTAATATCCGTCGTTATTACAATAACTTCTAAAGATAACTGAAAATAACACAAAACTGGTTTATACTGCACGAACTTCAACTGATACTAACATCACCTATTGCACTGAAGGTCTTCATTTAGAAGAGTTATGATGCCTTATGATGAAAGGTGAGTTACTTTGGAAGTCACGAGGCCGATGCCCCTTCTAACAACCAGAGCAACCATTTATTTAGGTACATGGAGTGCTCGCACAATGTGGGAGAATTTTCCAAATTGCTGCAGAAATGCAACACATTGGACGCAAGTTTGACAACAACGACTAGCTTCAGGGGAGTTTCTGTTATACTCCGGACATGAAGAAAATGCCCCACATACACAATGAGTAGCATTGATGCTGTCCAAACAAGCAAAAAATGCATTTATAGGACGGGAATCTCATGGACCAAGGATCATCAAAGCCTCCTTCAAAATAAAGAAAGAGGGCATTACAATGAACGTCATCTAATGCTATGCACCTACCAACGACAACAATGAAGACGCTAAAGATCAATTCTACGATAGGCTGCAGTCAATCGTTGAGAAGTGACCAACAAAAGACCTGATCATTCTGATGGGAGATTTAAATGCCAAGGTTGGAATTGACAACGCCGGATATGAAGAGATCATGGGACGACACGGACTGGGAGAAAGGAACGAAAATGGTGAGAGATTTGCAAACCTATGTGCCTTCAATAAACTGGTCATAGGAGGGAATATATTCCCACATTAACGCATCCACAAAACCACATGGACTTCACCGGATCACACTACGCAAAACCAAATCGATCATATCTGCATCAACAAAAAGTTCAGGAGGATGATGGAGGACGTGAGAACCAAGAGAGAAGCTGATATAGCATCAAATCATCACTTGCTGGCTACCAAGATGAAATTGAAATTCAAGAAGCACTGGAAAACGGGGCGGACAATATCACAAAAGTTTAATACGGCTATTCTTCGGAATACTGACAAACTCAACAAATTCAAGATAGCCCTCAGCAATAAGTTCCAGGCCTTTCATGATCTACTCAATGGAGAAGGAACTACTAAGGAGAGTAACTGGAACGGGATAAAAAAGGCAATCACTTCAACGTGTCATGAGGTTCTGGGCCACAAGAAGCACCATCACAAGGAATGGATCACGGTTGATACACTGGATAAGATTCAAGAGAAGAACAAGAAGACAGCAATCAATATCAGTCAAACAAGAGGAGAGAAAGCCAGGGCATAAAGTGAATACACAGAACTAAACAAGCAAGTGAAGAGGAGCATCAGAACCGACAAACGCAAATATGTGGAAGATTTAGCAATGACGGCGGAGATGGCTGCAGGAGAAAGAAACGTGAGACAACTGCATGACACAACAAAGAAACTCTCTGGAAATCACCGTAAACCAGAACGACCAGTAAAAAGTAAGGAAGGCAAGGTAATCACAAACATTGATGAACAACGAAACAGGTGGGTAGAGCACTTCAAAGAACTCTTGAATCGACCAGCTCCACAGGATGAAGGACTCCCTAGACGCCCAACTTCGAGACCAACAGGTAGGATTCCGTAAGGATAGATCATGTACAGACCAAGTTGCAACTCTACGGATCATTGTGGAACAATCAGTTGAATGGAATTCATCACTCTATATCAACTTCATTGACTACGAAAAAGCATTTGGTAGCGTGGACAGAACAACCCTATGGAAGCTTCGTCGACACTACGGCGTGCCTCAGAAGATAGTCAATATCATACAGAATTCCTATGATGGATTAAACTACAAAATCGTTCATGGAGGACACTTGACAAATTTGTTCGAAGACCGGTGTCAGGCAAGGTTGCTTACTCTCACCCTTTCTCTTTCTCCTAGTGATCGACTGGATCATGAAGACGTCAACATCTGAGGAGAAGCATGGGATACAGTGAACAGCTAGAACGCAGCTGCACGATCTAGACTTGGCAGATAATCTGGCCCTTCTATCACACACGCAACAACAAATGCAGGAGAAGACAACCAGTGTAGCAGCAGTAGGTCTCAATATACACAAAGGGAAAAGCAAGATTCTCCGATACAACACAGCATGTACCAATCCAATCACAATTGACGGAGAAGCTTTGGAAGATGTAAAAACCTTTACATATTTGGGCAGTATCATCGATGAACACGGTGGATCTGATGCAGATGTGAAGGCACGGATTGGCAAAGCAAGAGCAGCATATTTACAACTGAAGAACATCTGGAACTCAAAACAATTAGCAACCAACACCAAAGTCAGAATTTTCAATACAAATGTCAAGACAGTTCTACTGTATGGAGCCGAAACCTGGAAAACTACGAAATCCATCGTCCAAAAGATACAGGTGTTTATTAACAGTTGTCTACGCAAAATACTTCAGATCCGTTGGCCGGACACTATAAGCAACAACCTACTGTGGGAGAGAACAAACCAGATCCCAGTGGAGGAAGAAATCAGAAAGAAGCGCTGGAAATGGATAGGACACGCATTGAGGGAAGCACCGAACTGCGTCACAAGACAAGCCCGCACGTGGAATCCTCAAGGCCGACGGAGGAGAGTAAGACCAAAGAACACATTACGCCGTGAAATGGAGATAGACATGAGAAAAATGAACAAGAATTATATGGAACTAGAAAAGAAGACCCAGGACAGAGTGGGTTGGAGAATGCTGGTCTGCGGCCCATGCTCCATCAGGAGTAACAGACGAAAGTAGTAACAGATGTCAGGGATCTCTAAAAATACTGTTCATTGAGTATGCTTAGTGAAGAAAACCGACGTCATCTATTCCATGATGTAGAATTAAAAGCCCATATAAACATTGCTTTAATTGGCTTAGCTTCTTTAAATTACCCGCTACAAAAGGAGACATTTCAACGAACCCAAAATCCACTAGTGTATAATAACGGACTCGCACTGTTAATCGTAGCTAAAATTCACAGAATAATATTAGAAACCGAACGAAATACAATACACTTTTAGTTGATACTTTACCTGAGCATCGATAATGAAAATTATGGCACAAGAAGCTAAAAATATAGCTTCAGATTGAAAGGTTTCATCACAAAAATCAATGTGACCAGGAAAATCCCATATTTGAAATTTGATAAAGGAGCATTCAGATACGTCTGAAATGTTATATCCTAGAACAAATCATATAAAATGCTACCATTCTTTTCAATTTTGTGGGTACTTTCCAAAAACAATGTTTCGTTTGGGGCCATTTTGTGAAAAACAACCCGTTGGATTGATGATTTACCACTTCTACAAATAATAGGTCAACATATTAACATAAGGAAATAAAACCTTCTTAAACCCATCAGTAGTATTTTCGGTTTTTCATCGACTTGACTCAGCATATTTTGAAAAATAGGCAAATGATTCCCAACACCACAACTGCCAGCAGCAACCGTGCTTTGTGATAGTTCACAATCATAATTTTCCTGATATCCAGTGGGGATAAAGTTTCCTAATTCTGAATAAACCTGACGAGTGGGGTCCTCAATGTTAACATTGTTCATTCTGAAACTAAAAGATGAAGAATTGTTGAACTGAAAACTCAGTATTCGAAAAAGTCAGATTGTAAAAGTAATAAAATGACTTTTGTATAACATTATCCAAGTGTTTTAACAGCCTTGTTTAGAAAATGTAACTGCTTCGTTTTGGTTGACTAACTTGAGACAATTCATTCTTACTACTTTGTTGGTAAAACTTGGGATCACCTAACATGGTTGGAAGTTTTTTCATTGCTGTTATGTTGTTCCCGACTTCAAGGTAAATCGCAATGTAAAGCGAAATTTGTAAATACCCTTAATAAACCATGAAATAGCATTTCTATCTTCTTACAATGATTATCATTTCACACGTACTGATTATATGTTTCCATAACCGCTTTCGTTTTGCTTTATTTTGCATGTATTTAGGGTCGGTAAATGAATACTTAAAAGCCGATGACTAACAGAAAATCTGTCAACTTTGAATGGTAATATGATCTTAAATCCATTTGGCACTTTACGGATAAGTGAAACGAATTTAACAAGGGCTTGAGTTAGTCAGATGTGAAAATATCATGTCTTGGACTTAAATAAATTATAACTATAAAACTTGTTTTTACTGGGAATTGGATCTTATATTTGAACTCATGAATATGATTACATAATTTGTTTCATGATGGTTTGAAGATACCTAATGCTTTGATGACTGAATGGTAGTCAACGATAGAACTATTGAGACTTCAATCGCTGAGATTATTATGAATATAACTCCATATTTAATGTCTTTAATACGCTTGACTTCTGTGAAACAGTTTGTTTACATCTTCATTTAGTGTTTCTTATACTTTACAAATAATACACTGGCAGCTACGTATTAACATGCAGTTTTCTAAGAACGCTGACTGTGACCTTCCAAGTTTGGTTGAATGTGACAGTTTACCAGAAGAGGCGGCTTAGTGGCTAAGGTATTCAGCGTTTAGCAACAAAAACCCAGATTCGAGTCTGTCTTTAACTACTTCCTTTTGGGAACCCGAGTAGTAAAACTATTTATCACATTAAGAGCGTCGTCCACAACCAAGCACCTGTTGAAGTAATTAATTAAATTAATTACAAGCAGGTATTAGGATTCGAAAACATACGCACAGATAAACTAATAAAAACATCAAGTACGGATACGTAGGTTAAGTATCAGAGATGTACTGTAATGAGTTCTAAAGAGCGATAAAGGTTCTTTTCTGATAGTCGTTCTATATAAAATTGCAGGACACTCGAAATCTAAACCACTAATCGATAAAACTCAACCAACCGATTCTCAAAAAACACGTTTCTTATATCATATTCGTGGAAGATTTCAACATCCACAGTTTTCTAAACAAAAATAACTACAGAAATCAAATTATCTGGTAATCTTTACAGTACTTACAGAAGGCTTGGATGGCAGGAGTGTTCTTCGAATCCCAAAGACAGTTTCGGATCTACTCGTCATACACCCTACTGGACATACTAAAAATCATTCATATACTGTGATACCTCCAAAACATAGAGTTGGTCCAGTAGAAGCAATATCATATAGGGACCATCACAGAAGAGATTATGATGACAGATCTTAGTAGCACCCTGTGGATGAGTGAACGTGACAGTAAAGAAATGCATCCCGACACAAACATGATTCCATTGTTGATTAAGTCATACGAGAGAGTCGTTTAGGTGACCGATGGGGACTTGTTGGTCGTAGGTTAGATAACGAGGACCGTTTAGTGCAAACGTTCGCAGACCACAACCTGTTTCTGGCTAGCACTAACTACCAACACAATCATCGCTGATGTGCCACCTCGCGTCCTCCCTCTGCATTTAAACCCCGGACTCTGGTTGATCACATCGCGATCAGCTACCGCTGCTTTCGATTCGTTATATAGGACTGTTCTATGGGATTGTCTATTGAAGAAGGATGTGCCTGAGAAGTTTATTAACATTTTATAAACCCTATATACAAACACATCAGCCGAAGTGAGGGCAAACAACCACCGCTCTCTGTTGTTCCATTCAAGCAGTGGGTTTAGACAGGGTTTCCCAGTCACACCATTCCTCTCCAAATTCGCTATCAATGATGTTCTGGAAACAGCTCTGATGGATGTAGGGAATGGTGGTGTGTATCTGTTGCCTGGAGAAAGAATTCTTGACCTTAGTGTGCGGGTGATATTATCTTAATGCGCAATAATATCCAAGCCATTCAATCTGCACTTTATCAGTTGACAATTAGTGTCCGTATGTATGATATGTGCTTTGCACCTTACACGTGCGAAGTACTTTGACAAGAATGGCAGGACCCTGTTTTTTGTTATTTATTTATTTGAACACAAATATTGGTACAAAGAGGCACCGACTACAAGTCACAAGTCACTTGATTTGTGTGTGGGCTGTGATACTGTCGTCCCCGTGCATTATTTGCCGACGCTGGGACTGGTTGGAAAAAGGGGAGAGGTGGTCAGTGTATGATATTGGCGTCGCGGTATGTAAGAAATCTGTACAAGACTGGCTTCTGTTGGTCCCTCACAACTCCCTGGTTGGGGTTCCAGAGATAGTGGCTTAAGACGTTATCCAATATGGCTCAAAATAGAAGCCAGTGGCGATCCTGCTTCATAAAAATGGACGTAACTTCTTTAACTGGGAGAATTTTTTCAGGTTATACCTTTGCTAACTGAACTGTTTTTCTTATTATTATTATCTCAATATCACACACTAATTTCTGTTCGTTATTGTTCTCCTTTTCTTACACGTAATTTACATTCTCTATTTCTTCTGATTCTCATTTTTATTGTGTGGTTGTTGGGGACGATAGATCCCCAAAAGCTCATAGTTCGTAATTTTATCTTGTGGAGGTTGTATGCAGATGTATACGTGGGCATTTCTTATCACCCACGCACATTGTCGATTGACGAATTTATCGATTAGATGTTTAAATATTTCAATGACAGTCAATTGACGAACTATCGATTAAATGTTTAAAAGCTCCATGGCAATATATATATATATATATATATATATATATATATATATACGTTTTAGAATTCTTTGTGAAATCGCTCGTTTTCTGGTTGTTGCAGAATATACTTCCATTTTAAGCTTGGTCTTCTCTCTCTAGATAGCAGGGCTGGGACGCGTCAATAGTTAGCTTACTGGTCTTAGTCATCGAATCTCGTTCTCGTCCGTAGATTAAGTGAACTAGTGATAGCTTCAACCCTAACAGTGGTGCATATATATTTGGTGCCCCTTTGTACCAATATATATGTGTCCAAATAAATAAATTTTGATCAAGATCAAAAGACTGCAGGTCGTCAGCGTCCTCCCTGGACAGAACAATGTCATTTGAGTGTACTGTGTTAAATAGTGCGGCCTATGCTCCACGAGAGGTAACAGACGTAAGTAAAGTAAGTAATGTCAATTAGTGAGTCTCCTGGTAAATCAACATTTGAAAAGTTAGATAATTGGAGCGTTATCTGTAAACAAATGTATACGACAAAGTTAAAAATGATGGAAAAACCGATAACGTTTCGCCATAAATTGATCAGCAGTGTTAGAGAGCCTTTACAAAGTTAATACACTTCTTTGGTGCTCCTTTCAATGACAGACAACCATAAAATTTGTCGATGTACTGAGTTGAATACTACCTTGAGGTCAAGAAATATACATATGGTTGGGATGCACTAGATATGTCTAACAACCCAGTAGAGGGCAAAATTTCGGTCTGCGGATCCACATAGGGATTTGCAACCAGTCTAGTTTTCTCAAAATTGTTGTTCAGATTTCCAACTTTCAATCAACTACCTGAGTGAAAAAGAATATGTGTTTATACTCCTATTTATGGACTAATCCCTTCATTTTGTATAGTTGTAAAATCTATGGAATGAGTATTGCATCCTTTTATTAGTCGGTTACAACGTAGAACCTATAAATATGTACGTCAGTTCAATTCGACATGTCCCACTAGCACAGAGGGAGGAAATTGTCAGGCCAAATCCCAAAGTAGTACAAGTAGTAACATCATTAGTGGTGATATAAAAGACTAGGGATCAAAGCTACGAGTTAAGGAAAGTAAGTGCAATCAAAAGACAAAAAACTTATGATTTATTCAAAAGCTCACAATTTGGGGGAAGACAAAGAATGGATAAACCTGAGTCATTGCAAACGATTTTGAGTCATGCCATTCAAAGCCTAACCATTGGTTATGATGGTCACACTGTCCCCCAACCAGGCAGTCTACTCCTACCAAACTAACTCGGTCCAATTTTCAGTGACTTTATGGACTAATGAAATGCTATGGTTTGGCTGAACCTCGCTCTCTTCCAGCCTGCTCATGCACCATACAACATCACCCGTACATCAGGCCCAGCTGCCCTTCATCGCTGTAGTTCCCCTATAGCACTTTCAGCCTCACACCATCCAGAATGAGCGGTATACTTTTATCGAGCCACTTCAACAATGGCTGATAGCAATGTGGTCTACTTAGGTTCATCACTGAGTTGAATGTGGATGTCGTCACGTCAGACAATGCTTCTCCTTACATTTAAAGTTAGCGTTTCCCAGAGATAGATGGTTACCTGGGCATAGTTGCAACAGGTAGTTACCATTATCTATTCGCTGAGCCGCAACACCATAAGATCCGCCTAAGTACCTATCGTTTTTGTTTAGTTTGCCTACTTGAGCATTAAAACTACCTGCCACTAGTACTAAATCAGAGCGTTCGAAAGCACATAAATCTCACCGTTAACTTCAACCGAGCTGCAATCAGTGGGAGCGACGGCAGAGACAATGAAAAGGCAACGGCGTGTCTCTATCTTTTTGAGTTCTTACTCCCACGTTTAGTCAGACAGGCTCCCAAATGCCCTGGTACGACTGAGAGTGGGGAGAGTCGCTTCTCCCTCTCGAAATGCTCTCACATGGCAGCGTGCATATAACTACTGTCAGGTAAGTCCTACTCTGCCTTCTCGCGACGAGGGTGTTGTTTACAAAGTCGACAGAACGAAAAG